GGGGGGTGACAACTTGCCAACTGCACTATGTCGCCACACCCAGGTTTGTTAAATTATATTTATTAATTTTTAAAACATGAAAATAATATTGCTTATTTATTACATATTACTATACAGGTCTTGGATTTGATCCGCCCCCAACAATTCATGTGAACACAGCTTATAATTATTTGAAAGTACTTGGTTATGAATTTTCTCGAACAAAAAAAGGGATTTATATTGATGGACATGAACGGGATGATATTGTAGCATATCGAGTAGTATTTTTAGATAGAATGTTAGAGTTAGAAAAATTAATGCCTGTATTTGATGGTGAGAATATGGAAATAGAGATATGGCCGGAGTTATCTCCTGGAGAAAACTTCATATACTTGTTATATATGATAAATATATATTTTCTTCGTATGATGGTATGCCAATGTGTTGAAAACCTAAGGGTGAGCAACCACTTAGAAAAAAAGGAAAAGAACGGTCTTTGCATGTTAGTGAATTTTTGACAGATATATGCGGACACTTAAAGCTAGATGTATGTTTGTTTAATATAATATTTTAAAACTTAAATATAGATTAATACAAGGCAGCAACTTTTTTTTTATTACAAGGCAAGCTCTCCAAATTATCTCAAGAAAGCATGTGTTATTATAACTCTAGATACTAATGGAGATAGCTGGTGGACGGCTGAAGATCTTATAGCACAAGTGCGAGATAAGGTGATTCCTATATTTAAAGAACAGTTCCCTGGAGCAGTTGCAGTTTTTGCTTTTAACAATGCAACTAGTCATGCAGCTTTTGCACCTGATGCTCTTGTTGCAAAACGAATGAATAAGAGATCAAAAGGAAAACAACCTAAAATGAGGTATAACTATTTGAACACTATAGTGAGGAAATCTGTAAGTAAATATTTAGGTTATTACAATAGCAAACTTATCATATTATATTATAATATGATAAGTTCTCTACAGTGATATCCTAAATATTCACTTATAGGTTTCTCTTTACAGCACTAATTTGAATAATATATTTTGAAACTTTAATTAAACACAATATTTGCTTTTAGATCCACAACTTTCAGATCTGAAATTACACAAGATATAGTTTTTCCTTTAAATCATCCAGATGCTTTACTTCGAGGACAGCCAAAAGGACTGCAAGTTGTATTATCTGAACGTAAACTATGGCGAGAAGGTCTTCATAAAAAATGCAAAAGATGCGAACCGGGGGCTACAAATTGCTGTGCTATTACAATCATGTCTAATGAACCTGACTTTTTAGCACAAAAGTATCAGTTGGAGGAAATGATTATTGCTAGAGGGCACAAAGTAATTTTTTATCCTAAGTTTCACTGTGAACTTAATTATATAGAGAATTTTTGGGGAGCCGCAAAACGATATACGCGTGCAAATTGTAATTATACTTGGAAAGGATTACAAGACATAGTTCCGAATTCATTAGATTCTGTATCTTTGACAACTATTCGGTGCTTTTCTAGAAAAGCATTTCGTTATATGGATATATATCGCAAAGGTTTAACAGGAAAAGCTGCCGAATTTGCAGTGAAAAAGTATTGTTTACATAGAAGAGTTCCAGATTCTATATTTTATGATATTGCAACCCTTAATAACTTAGGCTAAATACGATTAATAGTTTTTTTATACAATAAAATAAAGAATTAAAGACTAGTTTCTTTAAAAAGTTTTAAAAGCTAAATATATTATTTTTTTAAATTTAAAAATATTATTTATAATTTAATATTCATAATTTATATGATTTTATTTTATTTTTTCTTTAGATTTAATAGTTAGAATTGTTCTGTAATTTTATTGGTTCCGAACCTAAAATTTTTAGGCCGGATGTATATTTAAAATTTGAAACAGGTTTGTGTAACATGCTAGCTTTAGCTTGTGTGCACTATATAATATTATTTATTTCTTTATATATAATGAAGCTAACAAAATTTTTTCTTTTTTAAATTGCTATATTATAATAATAGAAGTTTTTATTTCTAAATACAAGTTCTGTATACTAAAGTTTTCTTTTTCTATATTGCTATAATTCTTTATAAAATTCTTCTATCTGTGTCTTAGCTTCTTCTTTTGTAATAAATTTTTTTTCAGCATATTTTGCTAATATTTGTTTTATATAAATTATTACTTCTTTATTAGTCTTTATTGTTGTTGTTGTTTGTTGTGTTTGTTTGTTCATATAGTTTTTTGTTTATATTTTAGCTTCTTCTTATTTTTAAACTTTTTTTTATTAATTATTATGACAGATTAAAATAAAATCAGATTAAAATAATTTTTTTTAATTTTTAAAAAAATTTAAAATTTTTTAGAGAACAATTTTTGGGTTTTTTAGTATTAGAGATTAGATTTAAAGTTAGAATTATTAATAAAAGAGTATATGTAGATTTTATAAGCTTTAAAGATAAGCAAAAGAGGTCTCTAAGTTTATTTTATTTGATTTCATTTTAATCTGCAACAATTATTACTAAATATTGTATATAATTAGCTAGTTTTCTACTGTTACTAGTTGTTGTTATTGTTAGTTATCTTTGTTTGTTATCTTTTTTCATTCTAGCTATATCAAACTCAACTATAATACTATATATTTCTTTTTGTATAATGAATATAGCTGAATTTTTTTTATTTTGTATTGCTACCTCATAGTTTTGATTATTTTTTTTCTAAGTTTAAGTTTTGTATAGTCAATTTTGTATTATCTGTATAGCTATAGTTTTTCTTAAAAAACTTTTATTTTTGTCTTTGCTTTTTTTTTGTAATAAGTTTTTTAGAATATTCTGCTTCATGTGATTTATTATTTTTCTGTTATTGTTAATTATTGTTTTTGTTTATTAAATTATTTATTAACTTTGTTTATTTTTATTATGTGGTTTTTGATATATTTTTTTTTGTTTATTCTTTATTATATATTATAATTCTTGTATTACTAAAACAAATCTGTATACAAAATCAAGACCAAGCACAAAAAACTATCAATAATTTTTCACATTTTCTTCTAATTTTTTGCGCTTCTGCTCTTCTTATTTGAGTCTTTTAAGAAACTAAGTATTTCTTGTAATTCTCTTCCTTTTTTCTTAGAGTTTTAAATCTAGTTTTTTAGTAGTCTTTATGTATTTTTTTTGTGATTTTTTTATTAGTTTTTGTTTTTATAAATTTGTATTTTAATAATTAGTAGAAAGAGTTCACTTTATTGTAAATATTTAATTTAATTTTTATTAAAACTATAAATATTATAGCTATTTATACAAAATAACTATTTTTTTTATTTAATTAAAGTATTTTAATTAGAAGAATATTTTTTACTTAATATACAAAATTGATTAGCTTAGTAAAATTTTAAATAAATTAAAAATTTTAAAAAATAATAAAATTTTAAAATTTTTAAAAATTTTAAATAAAATTTGATTTGATTTAATTAAATCAAATTCAAATCAAGTTTGATTTAATTTGATTAAATTTAAATATACTTAATATTTGATTTAATTTGATTTTAAATAACCCTAATTGATATTATTAAAGTTACAAAAATTTGGTTTTAACTGATTGATAAAAGATAATAGCTATTATATAAGTAAAATATTTAAAATAAAATTTAACTAATTTGATACCTGGTATTTAAAATATAAGATCTATATAATATATAAATCAAATTAATTTTTATCAAATAAACAAATAAATAAAATATAATTTAGATAATATTAGGGTTAGTATTGAGAACTAATATTAAAACAGGTTATAGTTTATACTAAAATTTTGCAAAAAAATTTTTTTTAGAGCCCCAAGAATAGTTTCATAAACAAAATTTGAGATATTATTAATTTTTGTTTTTGCTTTATTTTTATTATATAAAAAAATAATCTACAATATATATTTAATTGAATATTTTGTTTGGTTTTTCTATTTGTTTGTATAATCAAGTATTAATATATCTAGTATCCAAATAAAAATTGTCTTTAAAATATTATGCCAGTGGTATCAAATTTTTAATTTGTCAATATACTTTTAAAAATATAATAATTTAATTACTTTATTAAGTTACTATATTATTATTTTAATTTTTAAAATATTTATTATATAATAACTATAATAAAATTTTTAATTAAACTTTAATTAAAGATATCTTGACAACTATATTAAATTTAATATTTTTTATTAAAATTTTACAAATTTGTAAAATTTAAATAAAAAAGTTATTAAAATATTTTTTTGATATTTTTTTTGAACTTTGGTAGCCTTGTCTAGTATATTTTTATTAAGATTAATATATATAGTAGTATATATTGTTGAGCTTAATGAAATAGATCTGATATCCTGCAGTTAGTTCTAAAAGCACTTACTAGTAGCTATTATACTAGACTAATCAAGAACTCAGAAATCTTGTCTAATCAAAAAACCTCTTTACAATAAATTCACATTCTTTTATAAAGAAGTAAAAAGAACAAAAAGAATATTAAACTAAAAAAAACAGATATAAAAGATAATGATAAAATATACAAATAAGAAAAGAAAAAGAGAAAGGGTAGTACTAATTGAAAAAAAGAAAAAAGAGCCAAACAGTCACAATTATGGACCTGTATTAGACCTTTTAAAAATTATATGCTACTAAATATAATAGTCTTTATACTAACTATACTAACTAATATATTTAAACTTGCATACTTTATAATTGTAGCTTTATCAATATTTAAAGTAGAGAAATCAGTAAAGAATAGATACTAGTAGTCAAGACTATTATTTATTATCAAAGTACATAACCAATATATTCATAATCTCCTAGATTCTACTTGTAAATATTCTGTTGTTTATATTTAAAATAAACACCTTTATTGTATAAACTTTTAGGTAGCTACCTCTGAGTATTAAATAATAGTAACTATTTTGGTAATTAGATTGTTGATCTTTTAATAGGGAGGGTGTGGCGACTTAGTGAAGTGGTGAAGTTGTCGCACCCCCAAGCGGTTGAGTACAAGTTCAATTCCCACTGGA